TAGGCAACAGCATATTTTAAAATGAAATGGAGATCTTCTCTAAAGGGTACTCATTCAATTTTATGTCTTACAGGGTTTATACTGAGTTCAATATTGTATAACTGTATTCAACTGTGAACCTAAAAATTTACAGCCACTTTTGAAAGAGATGTATCCTTGCTCTGGAGTGTGTTACTGTATATGTTAAAGCTGTAATGAAATGCTTCTTCTAATCATGTGGTTATTAAATTTTTTTAAAAGTTAAAAAAATTAATTCTTCAAAGCGTAAAAATTTGCTCCTTAATAATTAGTAGATGTGGAAAAAAAACATTACCATTGAAATCTACCTGATGACTTTATATCTATGCTCAGATGCCAAGGAGCTCAGAAAGTAACTGACTGTGACTAGTAACAATCAGATATATAGAGATTAGAAATCTATGTGCAAACATCTTAGTGCTAATTACATTAAAAATGAATTTTTCTGTATGAAACTGTATATTTTAATAATGAAATAGAGATCTTTTTTAAAGGTTAAAAGCCTCATTTAATTTTATGTCTTATGGGGTTTATACTGAGTACAATATTGTATAACTATTAATTCAACTGTAAACATAGCCAATTTTGAAAGAGATGCATCTTAGCTCTGGAAATTGCTATTAAATATGTCAATGCTATTGTAATGAATTGCATCTTCTAATTATGTGGTTATTAAATAAATAATTTTTTAAAATCACAATAACAGAAATAGCATGAGGCTGGGCTGTCTGATCCAGCAGCTTCTAGCCAGATGTACTTATCAAGTATTTGAAATGTGCCTACGTGACAAAGCAACTGAATTGAAAATTTATTCAATTTTAATTAATGTATATGTAAACTTAAAATACTGGTGTGTGTGATTCTGCTTGGAAATTTTCTAGGCAGGTTGTAGCATTTTAGATACATAACCCTGTACTTTGAACTGGTAACTGCATAAATGTTAAATACAAGTTAACTATTTCCAATGGAATAGCTAGTATCCAATAAAGACAGGCTGAAAAAAAATTAGTGTTATCATATCTTAGTCTGTTTCAGCTGTTTTACAGAGTACCACAGACCAGATAGATTATAAACAGAAGTTTATTTAGCTCTGGGTTCTTGAGACCAGGGAGCCCAAGATGGAGGGGATCTTATCAGGTGAAGAGTAGAAGGCGTCACATTGTAAGGGAGCACAGGAGAGGAGTGGGGCAAACTTATCCCACTGCAGCAACAACCCACTCCCACAGAGGAGCACAAGTTCACCTGAGGGCAGAGCCCACATGGCCTAGGCACCCCCTAACCCACCTCTTCATACTCACAGAACAGAAACACTCGAGCCTGTGTTTTGGAGGGGACATTGACCTCAGCATGCTGTTTCACATTTCTGTTATCAAAGCAAAACCCAGTGTTTCCGGTGTGCCTCAAGTGTCACCTTATCTGTAACCCTCAGCGCTGCCTTGGTGCCATGGCTTTCCAGCTTCCTTTTACCAGGGTGATAGCTGGGGGGTTTTAACGTGGCTCTTCCTGTCTTAGTGAGTCCTGCTCTGGTATTCTGGATAAGCCTGTGTGTTGCTCACAACAGTCCTGAAGGGCATTTGCCAAGGCACAGACACTTGTGTCTTGGTTTTGCTGGGAAACTAAGTGTCCTGAATGCCTAAGTGTACTGTCTCCTTTTCTCATCTCCAAACTATGGGAACGGCACCCATGTCGTTGGGCAGTCAGTGACAAGTTTCAGGTGGCTTGCTCAGGCCAGCACCAGCAGACTGCAGCCCGGTGCCCAATCCCTAGCCAGGGAAAGTGCTTCTGCTCTGAGTCCTTACAGCAAGCTGTATCTACGCCAGCTGCGGGTAGCTGGTCCCACTGCTCAGGGCTGAGCCAGGCTTTCTGACAGTTATTTCCGTGACTTCTGTGACTGCCAGAATGTGACCCCTGAACTCAAGCTGGAAATGGAAGGCTGGGCTTGCTGTCCAGCAGAGCTACCTGTACTCTCCAGGACTCCCTTGGGCTCAGAGGCTCCAACCTGGGGCACCTGGAAGTTAACCCCTGGTGGATGCCAGCAGTGGAGAAGGCTGAGATCAGCGGCACATGCCACCCTGGACATAGTCACCAGCCGGCAAGGCTTGAGGTCATGTTGTAATTCTGAGAAAGCCCAGATGATCGTAGTGCTGGCAGACTGTCTTAAAGGAACCTATTCCATAACTGTCTCCATTTCCCAAGATCTCTGCCACTTTCAAATTAAAATTTGCCTATACTTTGATAAACTGATGTTTGCATACACAGTTACAGTGTCCAAGCTTCCAGTGTGGTGGCTCACACCTGTAATCCCGGCATTCTGGAGGCAGAGGCAAGAGACTGAGGCCTTGCCTAGTGTGGTGGAGCTCTCCTTTAATCCCAGCACTCGAAAGGCAAAGGCAGGAGGGTCTTTGAGGTCAGCCTGGTTTACAGAGTTCGCTCCAGGCCAACCAGGATTACATTACATAGGAAGACTTTGTCTCAAAAACAAAGGAAGAGAGGGAGGGAGGGAGGGAAAGTTTGAGACCAGCCTGGGTTACAGAGTATGGCCCTGTCTTAAAGGAAAAACACAAAACAAAAGCAATTTATGAAAGCTTGCGAAAAGATAGGTGCCGGCCCCCATGTCCCCACTTCCCAGAAGCAGCTGCCCTTCCCTTCTGAGGGTTTCCCCTCTCTGCTACTGTATCTCCACATTCCTTGGAGATTTGAAGATACTGTTTATTTCTTGATTTGCCTATCTTAGATATTTCATCCTTTTGTATTCTTCCCCATAAGACAGTATCACAGAGTTCAGTGATTCTATCCTGTGATGCTGCAGATGCTGGGTACCACTGATGGGAAGCACCTACTGACTCTGGACTGGAGTCTGAGGACAAGTACGCCTCCTGAAGCTCTGGGGACACTGCAGTCAGCAGCAGCATTGTTTTGGACAAGGCAGGGGCAGACACGATGCCCAGAACAGTGGCCTCAGTGTTGGACAGCAGTGCCTAGTAGGGTGGTGAACTGGGAAGTAGAGGGTAGGCGAGCCTCCTACTTAGATGGTGGATTCAGTTCTAGGACTGTTGTTATATAGGGAAGCCTGAAGGGGGCGTGGACTCTCACACTTGACTGTCGAATGGTTGCCTTGCTCACTTATTCCTTTTGTGGGTTTCCATTGAACTTGGTGTGCTTGGTACAGAATAATCTCTACTGGTCCTGGTGGATGGCGGGGGAGGGTCCACAATAGTCACATAGTACACCTGTGATGAAGGGCTGGATTGAGTCCCCAACATGGTGAAGAAATCTCAGGTCCAGAGGTCAGAGTTGAGCCCTGTAGGACAATTTAGGGTTTTGTGAACGCTGATGTGACGTGTTAACTACCTGGTTCCCAGCCTGGGCATTCTCACATTTAATTTAGAAGCATCCGACCATCTTCACAGGTGACCATCCAGGCAGGCTCTGTGCCTCTAGCAACTCCTGGGACCTCTGGAGAATGTAACATGTCTACTTTGCACAGGACACAGGGCTGGTTGAAGCCATTAGGTTTCAAGTTCAGGACTGCCTCTGAATTCCATGTCACCTGTTCCCTGGGAGGGACTGTGGGCCTCCCTGTGCCCGTAGACTCCTCTGACTTGGGGGAGGAATTCAAGTTAATCCATAGCTTTGTGTGATTGGGTTGGTAAATGCCTGCCTAGTGCAGTGGGACAGTGAGAGGCGGCCAGCTGCTGCCTGACACTGCCCAGCCTCTCTGCATTACCTGCAGTCTCCCCGCTGCAGCGTACAGATTAGAATTGCAACCTCAGCAAAGGGGCCTTGCTTTTCCCTCATATTTGCTACCTGATGTTTGTAAGCATTTTTTCTTTTGCTGGCTGGTCTTTCTGCTTTTGCGAGGCAGCCACTAAGACAGTGTCTCAGGTGGGTTCAGGGAATGTCCTGGGGAATCCCTGCCTGTGTGGTCAGAGAGGCTGTTGGTTGCCATGCAGTACCTACAGCTTTGTGTGAAGAGCAGAGCCACTCTGAGCTGCCCATCAGGATATCTAAGAGCTTGTCAGGTCAAGGACAGCTTCCCTGTTCACACCTCAGGACAGCCACGGCTCAGTCAGACAGACAGCTGCTTTGAGCCCCCTCCAGATGTGCATTAAATGTGCTGCTGCTCCCTGGGTCTCCTGATGCCCCCTTTGCGGTGGTGCCTGTTGCTCCCTCCTAGTGCTCTGATTTCTCTTTGTTGTGATGTTGCACAGCTGAGTGAGATGTCACACAGGCCAAGCCCTGGCCATGAAGTGCTGAGGCAGCCTAGAGAGAAAGGAAGTCACAGGCTCCTCCTGCATTCCCACTCCTCCCTCCAGTCTCTTGTAAATGTCTTATGCACCCAGTATGCACCCCTGGATGCCATGCTAATATCCATTCAGCCCAGGGAGGCAGATCAAGGCCTACTGCACCCTAGATCACATCCTGGAGAGTTGAGGAGAGGCTAATTTTATCACAATGGAATTTCTGACCTTGAATTCCACTTTGGGAGTTTTTACCAAGAAGAGCTAATTTTCTGATCCAGGTCCCCTTTGAACCCCCTGACTGAAGCTCCTGCTGGCTCCTGTGGACAGGAGGTCACAGTATCCCCACCACAGTGGGGGTCCCTTTTCTGGTATATTCCAACCCCATTGGACCTTCTCCCATGCCCCTGAGTAAGTGTGAAAAACAGTCTACTGTGCTGACTGCCCAGTCCCTTCTCAGTCCATTACAACAGAAGCTGTTCTCTCCTCATTAGAACCATTTCTGTCAAGGTGCCTTTAATCAATGGCTTCCCCTGGGACAGTATTTTTAGAAATTGTATTTTTCACAGTCTCTTTTTTCCCTTTTGGAAATTCTCTTCCCTGAGCCGAGTGCAGTGCGCTAATGAGATGCCAGGAGAGCTGGGGCCAGTGTTAATTGGAACAGGTATGGAAGTGGTTCTCACATACCTCCAGGTCCATCTCGTCTTACCTGTGACCCTTTTCTCCATCTCTCGGGTACAGGTTGCACAAACGGCAGATGGCGTGGATGCTGACCTCTGGAAAGACGGCTTATTCAAGTCCAAGGTTACCAGATACCTGTGTTTCACAAGATCATTTTCCAAAGAAAATGTGAGTCTGGTGGTGGTTTCATTTGCTGAGTGAGCTTGAGTAATTTACATTCCTGGTTGGAATTCCTCTTCTTGTGTATGTGGTTTATTTCCATTGCTGTATTAATTTATCCATGGTTTTAGTGGTCAGGCTAGAATCAACAGCCAGGCAGTGTTTCATTTATTAACAGTGTTATTAACCACATACCCAAATGTACTGTGAATTCCATTAAAACGTGTTCTCCAAAGGAAACTAGGGAATTTCTCTCACATCCTTCATTTGCCTGCTATTTCTGCAGGCAACACATCACTAGGTGGTATAGATGGAGAGTCTTCCAGGGCACCAGGATGGAATGACAGCTAGGAAGAGGCAGCTTTGCTCAGTGGAGGACCCATGACACCCCACTCCAACCCTGTACCCAGACATGATGTGACCTTATTTCCAAAGAGTCTGTGTGAAAGTGGACCTTTCATCATTTTTACAGATAGTTGTCCACATGTGTGCATTTTTCTTCTGCTGTTTTTCTTTCTTTAGTTTTTTCATTTTTTGATACTTGAGCCCATGAATTGGGAAACTTCAAAGATACCTACTGTCTGTTCTAATAGGCATTTTTTTCTATTTTATTATTTTTCTTTAATGTGTTTGAATGTGTTGCCTGTAGTGTGTAAGTGTACCTGTGTGGTTTAATGCCCATAGAGATCAGAAGAGGGCATCAGATCCCCTGGAATGGGAGCTAGGACCGTTGTTAACTGCCATGTGGGTGCTGGGAATTGAACAAGGTCCTCTGCAAGAGCAGTCAGGGCTGTTAACCACTGATCATTCTCTCCAGCCCCCTACTAAGGCATTTTTTTAAAAGGGAAAATAATTAGCAAGTGTTTACCATGTATGAGGCCTGCATAGCTTCCTGCCCATCAGAACTTCCTGTCCATCACAGTCCTCCTGTCCATCACAGTCCTCCTGTCCATCGCAGTCCTCCTGTCCATCACAGTCCTCCTATCACCACAGTCCTCCTGTCCATCACAGTCCTCCTGTCCATCACAGTCCTCCTGTCCATCGCAGTCCTCCTGTCATCACAGTCCTCCTGTCATCACAATCCTCCTGTCCATCGCAGTCCTCTTGTCACCACAGTCCTCCTGTCCATCACAGTCCTCCTGTCATCACAGTGTCCTGTCCATTACAGTCCTCCTGTCCATCGCAGTCCTCCTGTCCATCACAGTGTCGTGTCCATCACAGTCCTCCTGTCATCACAGTCCTCCTGTCATCACTGTCCTCCTGTTCATCACTGTCCTCCTGCCTATCGCAGTCCTCCTGTCCATCGCAGTCCTCCTGTCATCACAGTCCTCCTGTCCATCACAGTCCTCCTGCCCATCACAGTGTCCTGTGCATCACAGTGTCCTTTCCATCACAGTCCTCCTGCCCATCACAGTCCTCCTGTCCGTCACAGTCCTCCTGCCTGTCACAGTCCTCCTGTCCATCATAGTGTCCTGCCCATCACAGTCCTCCTGTCCATCACAGTCCTCCTGTCCATCACAGTCCTCCTGCCTATCACAGTCCTCCTGTCCATCACAGTCCTCCTGTCCATCACAGAGTCCTGTCCATCACAGAGTCCTGTCCATCACAGTCCCCCTGTCATCACAGTCCTGCCCGTCACAGCTTCCTGCCCATCATGACTCTCTGTCACAGCCTTCCAGGATCACAGCACCAGGTCCAAGCATGTCCCTTCAGTGATTTCTGCAAATGGACTGCAATGTGCTTGCAGGCTTTCGCTCCCTCCCATCGCCTGTTGTTTGTTGGTAATTCTTTGTTAGGAATATTATTCCTAATTTGTTCATGCTGAGGGGAGAAGTCATCATGTTCATTTTTTCCCTAATCACAATAGCAATATATTTGCTGGTTGTAAAGTATAGAGTTTATGACAGAGTGGGGGGATCATTTTACTGCTGGCCTTTGAATATACTTTTAGTTCTAGGATCGGGGCTGAGGCTGAGCAAGCACCTGTACAGGGGCTTGCAGTGCATCTGCACAGGTCCCTCGGGCTCACTGTAGCCTGAGGAGACTCCACAGAGCAGGTCTGAGGCACCATTGCCTTACCAGATGTTAGGCTCCCATCACCCCATCCTTCCCACCTTCACCCCCATGTGCCCCTCTCTAGCCCCTTTGTCCCTTTTGGAAGCTATTTCTGCTTTTTGCTTCTGTCATTTCTGTCCACTTGTCACTGCCTCCTGAGTGATGTCAGCAGGCTGCTGCTGCTGGGCTCTCGGGGATATCCTGAGGACTTGGCTAAGCACCTGTTCAACCCTCTGGCCCCATGGTTTCTAGGTCTCTACCAGCCCCGTCTCTCTTGGTGTGGTGGTTCGAATGAGGATGACCCCCCATAGGCTCCAAATATTTGGACATTTTGTCCCCTTGGTCATGGTGTTTCTATCACAGCAACAGAAAAGTGACTAATACACTTGGCTGTAGAGGTTTTACATCAGTGGCCTCACAGGACAGCCAGTCCCTGGGAATCATTTCTATTTAGGACTTGTTACATTTTCTCTTGAGTCCATGAGGCATTGGTTCTCCAGGCTGGAAGAGTTCTTTACCTGGAGTAGGGGCAGGGGCAAGTCCATCAGTGCAGAAAAGTCACTAGTCTCATTAGTGAGGGTGCATTTCCTAAAGTGTTATAGAAAACACATTGCTTGGGCATGAGCTCAGAGGTAGAGCTCTCACCTAGCATGCATGAGGCCCTGTGCTTGGTCCCCAGTACTGCCAGAAAACATGCTACTGACCATCAACAGCTGGGAACTGGGAGTGGTGAGGAGAGTAAGTAGAGAAGCCCGGCTCTGCTCTCAGGCTGTGCGCAAAGCGGTGTGCCTTTTTTTTATAGAAAGATGACGAGTTGGTCCACAACTGGGATGTAGCTTGGTGTCTGAGAACGTGCTTGGCATACCTCGGTTTATCCTTAGAACCAAGAAAGAGAATAATGGGCCCTTTATGGGATCCAAATGATCAAATACAGGGATGGAATTTGGTTTGGGATCAAATTTGGGAATGCCAGGGCTCACTTGCCAGTCGTGGAATGAAGCAGGAGTCAGGCACATACTAACCAGAGACAGCCAGTCTATCCTGGCCTGTCGTCGGAAACCAAGGCTTGGCAGAACACTACTTTACAACTTACAGAAGGGTGTAGGGTCTCTCAAACAAGCTAAGGCTTAATTAGGTGACTTGAGAATCCCAGCGTAGGAGTTTGGGGAGCTTCCTTTGGGACCTAAATTCCTTTCCCCCAATGATGCCATTAATATAGAAACCTGGCTTTGGAGTGACATCGTTTCCTGGGGAAGGAGTGAGATTAATTGCACTTTTCATGCCCCGTACTTTCTGCATTACCTGTAATAATAATGTACATAGATTAGGTAGGGAGGATATTAAACAGAAGGATTTATGAACATTTGAATATTAAGTTGGTTATCTGTGGCTACCTTAAATGCAAGGTTGTCAAAAATAATTACAGTATACTAGCAAATACTGGCTACTGGAGACAATATAAATACCCTGAGTCAGTGCATATCGGGCTTTTGGCATGAATCATTTGCTCAACAAGGATTGGGAATACGTTCTTCATATTTATGAGGAGGAAATGAAAGAGGGGGAGGGGAGAGGAACCAGCAAAATTAATGGTGTCACAGACCCACGGTGTTAAACCTCTGAGCGGTGGCAGCCCTGTGGAGGAGGGCCACACTCAGGCTGTGGAAGCTTCAACTGGGCAGCCTCCCATTTTGTATGCACGAAAGGGTTTTCTGATGCTTGTTTTAATGACCACATCACCAGTGCTCTGATTTTACGATGGCGTGTGGAGGGTGAGGTCGCTAAGTGGTTTGCAGTTGACTCCTGCAGAGCCCAACTTGTCAAACAGAAGACATTGGAGCAGGATATTGATGAATGCCCATCCATCTACAGGGCAGCAAAACATGCCCAGTTATTAATTCCTCAATGCAGAAGGCAGTGATGGCATGGAAAAGCAAGTGCCATTGAAAAAAAAGATGATAGATTAGATCTGGCGTCTCCGAAGCTGGTGTTTGCCAGTCAGGTCCTTGATTGGTTCAACCTGTATTCCCAGTCAGAGATTTATTCTACATCAGGGAGGGCCTGTTCTCCTTGTGCTGCACTGCGCTGTGTATTGTCTTCCTGAGACCCCATCACCCAAGCTGTTGATAACATGAGATTGTTGGCAGATGCAGGAATGCCAAGACAAAGGGTGGATGCTTGGTGGCTGGCCACAGAAGCCCTGGCCACGGTTCACACCTGCCACGCTGACCTTCATATTTCAACATGAAGAATGTATTTTACTCATGCAGTTTGGTTCGTAATCACTATTAAACACCAATAATAAACACACTTTCAGAATTTTTGTGGCATGGTTTTAGATTTGCACTCCAAGCAGGTCTGATTTGACTTCTGCTGCTGAGTGCCCTTCCCTGTTATAAAATGTGCCTCAAAGTATCCATTTATTCAGCAAATAATTATTGAGCACCTGCCGTGGGGCAAGAGCTATGCCAGGCTTGCATGTGCAGTAGGAGCAGAGATTGTTTTAGTTCCATAGTTTAGAGTGACAGATACTAAACAAATAACCTCACAAATATCCAATTAAAAATTAAGAGGAAGTTAAAAAAAAAAAAAAAGAGGGCACATATTCCTGCATGGCTTTCACACCTGTGCACTGTGCGGGCGGAGGTGAGTGGGTCCTGGTTCCTCAGGTTCAACGGTGGAGCTGGGTCTCTAAGTGAGACAGGAACTCTGGCCTGAGTGGATCCTGCATGGCCAGAGCGTGGACTGGCCCATTACATGTCTGTCTAGGGCTGCAGAGTAAGTGAGCATTCGTTCAGGCTGGGCTTCAGGGATACAGTGGTAAGTGGGCACACTGAGTGTATTGCCAGAATCCTAACAGGAGAGACTTGGGCTGGGATCCCGTTGCTCTTGCCTTAACTGGCTCTGACGAGGCTGCAGATAACTCTGAAGATGTTAATGCAGTCTCTATCACAGCCCCCCTGTATTTAAGACATAGGGCAGATTTCTGCAGGGCTGTTTCCAGCATAAAATACGAGCTGCAAGTGCCGGCGCGTTTTCAAAGAATTCTCTCTTGCAATTATAAAATGGTCATCATCTTCCAAAGATGTGTTTATGCCAGTTATGGAAACTGCATGGTGGACCCCGTCTACGACCACTAAGAGGCCCTTGAGTGTGTCATTTCAGAAGACAGGGAACACTGAGGCAGCGGGACTCCCACTCTACGTCAATTTATGATTCTTGGGATTTTGTAAAATGCACCTCTCAACTGAAAAGCGTCTGCAGACCAGCGACCACTTGGGCTGTGATCAGCTCCTCTTCAGTTTAGATGCAGCTCTTCACCATGCTCAGACCTGCTCTTTCAAAAACCTACTGGCCCTGAGAGAGAACACTCAGGGCTAAGTGGCAGCCAGGGTCTAGGGACAGGCACACAGCTGCCCTCTGCTGGGTTCTGTCTACAGCATCTCCCTCGTGGCTCATCCGGCTCACAAAGGCCACATTTGAATGAGTGGCTTTGAGGTTCTGCAGATGAAACTCCTTCCTGGGGCCACCCAAGTCCCTTTGTAACCGCTAGGGAACATTAGGTGTCACCTGCTCTAATTAACCCACTGTCATAAACCTGTACCAGTCACAGTGTTAAATATGCATCCTGAAGGGAAAATGGCAAGCAGACCGAGGTACATTCCAGTTAATAGTCTGTGTGTCTTTTCTTCCCAAGAGTCATTTGGGGAATGTGTTGGTGGACATGAAGCTTATCGACATTAAGGACACGCTGCCTGTGGGCTTCATCCCGATCCAGGAGACAGTGGACACACGTGAGTCAGCCCTTAGTGTGCTCATCACCTTGAGTCTTCTTCCTCTAGGTGGACTTTTAGATACCTTTTGTATGCATTTGTTTCTTTGGAAACATTGTGAGGCCTCAGAAAGCCTACTGCTTGTGATAGCCAGCTGGGTTCTCTGTGTGTACAGTGGGTCTGCAGTGTATGGGTCCCTTACTGAATTAGCTCGCTCAACAACAGAACCTTGAGTCCAGTGATGATGGGTCTTTGGTCTGTCCTCTGGTTGCTGAAGCCCAAGCTTGGCACAGGACCCTGAAGTGAAAGGGAGAAACAGTAGGGATCAAAAGATGCTCAGGGGCTGCAAGAACAACCATGCTCCTGTGTTTGGATCATAGAGCAAATGAGAAACACGGACCAGAAAAACTGGGAGTTAGAGCATTCAGGAGCTGACTTGGAGCCAGGTGTGGTGGTGCACACCTGTAATCCTAGTACTTGGGAGGAGAAACCAAGAGGGACCAGAGTTCAAGGTCATCCTCTGCAACATAGCAAGTCTGAAGCCAGTCTAGGCTGCATTCCTGTCTCAAAAAACAAAGCAAAACAAAAAAACAAAATAGTAAATCAATCAAATACAAACAAGATTTGAATTAGACCACAAACTCTGAGCAGTGCTGAGTGGCAGGGAACTGTGAATGGAGCACAAGGTGCTCCGGACCTGTAGTGCCGGGGGCTCTGGACCTGTAGTGCTAGGGACTCTGGTCCTGTAGTGCTGGAGACTCTGGTCCTATAGTGCTAGGGACTCTGGTCTTATAGTGCTGGGGCTCTGGACCTGTAGTGCCAGGGGCTCTGGTCCTGTAGTGCCGGGGACTCTGGTCCTGTAGTGCTGGGGCTCTGGACCTGTAGTGCTGGGGTTCTGGTCCTGTAGTGCTGGAACTCTGGTCCTGTAGTGCTGGGGTTCTGGTCCTGTAGTGCTGGGACTCTGGACCTGTAGTGCTCGGGCTCTGGAACTGTAGTGCCGGGGACTCTGGACCTGTAGTGCTGGGGTTCTGGTCCTGTAGTGCTGGGACTCTGGACCTGTAGTGCTCGGGCTCTGGAACTGTAGTGCCGGGGGCTCTGGTTCTGTAGTGCTGGGAACTCTGGTCCTATAGTGCTGGGACTCTGGACCTGTAGTACTCGGGCTCTGGAACTGTAGTGCCGGGGGCTCTGGTCCTGTAGTGCTGGAGACTCTGGTCCTGTAGTGCTGGGGTTCTGGTCCTGTAGTGCTGGGGCTCTGGACCTGTAGTGCTGGGACTCTGGACCTGTAGTACTGGGGCTCTGGTCCTGTAGTGCTGGGGTTCTGGTCCTGTAGTGCTCATGGTGGCAGCTATACTGTGAGATAGTGTCAGGAAATCTCTGTGTGTTTGAGCTTTCTCATTTTGGTGTAAGTTAGTGTGTGTAATTTTAATTGTTTGTTGGCTCACTTCGGGATGCCTACCACAGTGGAGTGGTGAATAAGGACATGCAGAGTGCCCTTTATCTGTGACATAGGGTTCCTTTAGGAAATTCTCCATTTCGCTCTTCCTTATATTATTCTTTTTAAACTTATTTTTTAAACTTTCTGAAACTTATTTTATGTGTATGAGCATTATGCCTGCATTTGTGTAAGTGTCCCGGTGTCGTGCAGCACCCACAGAGGACAGAAGAGGGCATCAGATCCCCTGAAACAAAAGTTACAGATGGTTGATACATGGGTGCTGGGATTCAAATCCCAGTCTTCTGCAAGAACAGCCAATGCTCCTAACTGCTGAGCCACCTCTCCAGCCCCTGTATGATTCATACTTTATTTTCCTGTAGTCCACATAGTTCAGAACCGCTGTTTGCTTACCACTTTCTTGTTTGCATTTCACATAGAGCAGAGTTCCCATATCTACACAGCCCCCACTGGAATGTGTTCTAATTGAAGCAAGGAGACCCCTCGTGCCCCATGTCGTTTGGTGTTCTTGCCACTTTCTGCACGGCAGCTTTCAGCTGTTCGCTGTGTTAGCTAACAGTACCACAGCTGCTTGTGCTGGTTATGTCTGTCAGTTTAACACAACCTAGAATCACACACCGTAGACTCAATGGAGGGAGTGCCCAGATCAGATTAGCCTATGGGCAGGTCTGGGGGGCGGGGCTTGTCTAGATTGCTGACTGACCCAGCCTGCTGTGGGCAGCACCCTTCTCTGGGCAGGAGGCCCTGGGCTATAGGAGAGTAGAGGGGCTGGCTGAGTGCAAATGGGGAACAAGCAAGCAAAGATCCATTGGTTTCTCTCCACTCTTGACTGTGGGTGTCAAGTGACTAGATGCTTGAAATCTTGTCTTGACTTCTCCTCTATGATGGGCTGTAACCTGGAATTCTAAGCCTTTCTTTCTCCCCTAAAGTTGCTTTTGGACATTTTGCGTGTGAGAAAAGCAAGGCACAGTGACTACTTAGGGATTAAACAGCTTAAGCCAAGATCAATCACATTTACATTGGAGGCAGACAAGCTGTTAGAACACATACCCTCATGCATGTGCACACAGAGTCAGTGTCGCTAACCACAGCACACCAGAAGAGCACATGTACAAAGCGCCTCATACAGATAGATTTTATGTCTTCATATAGCAGGGTTTTTATAGTAGATGTATTAAGATATAATTCAAACACCATGTAATTCACCCATTTAAAGTGTACAATCCAGTGCTTTTTTAAAATACTCAGACTTCTGTTTCTCCTGTCACAATCACTTCGTCATCGCAAAAGAAATGTCATCTGCGGTAGCAGACACCAGTGTCATGGAGACATTGCTTCCTGACCCTTGCCTTCCTGCCCTCTGCCAGCTAGAGGCAACCGCTGATCTGCCTTCTGTGTAGACCTGCCTGTTCTGGATAATTCCTACAAATACTATCATACCAGGCTGGAGAAGTGGCCCAGTGGAGACCTGAGGACCTGAATCTGGATCCCTCACCCCCATGTAAAAAGTCAGGTGTGGCTGCATATACTTGTAGTCCCAGCACCAGAAGACAGAGATAGGAGGACCCCTGAGGCTCACTAGCCAGCCAGTCTAGCTAATCGGTGAGCTCAGGTACAGTGAACGACCCTGTCTCAAAAAATAAGGTGAACTGGAGAGATGGCTCAGTGGTCAAGAGCACTGCTGTGCTTGCAAAAGACCCATATTCGGTTCCTAGCACCCACATGGCAGCTAATCTGTAACTCCAGTTCTAGAGAATCTGCCACCCTCTTCTGACCTCTGTGGGCATTGCACAACACAGGTGCACGTACATACATGTAGACAATACACTCATACACATAAAATAAAAATAAATTTTAAAAATAAGGTGAAGAGCAATAGAGAGTGACACCCAATACCAACTCTGGCCTCTACGTGCACAGGCACAGGTGTACACATGTATATACCATGTAAACACAAAATAAAATGGAGAGTGATTGAGGAAGACACCTTGCATCAACTTGGCCTCCTCATGTGTCTGTACAAGCAAAGACTTATAGACACACATGCCTATAACCACACACACACACACACGTTAATTAAAATAAAAAATTTAGTCACATCATCAGCTTTCGGGTCTGTTTCTGTGACTTAGACCAGCTTTCTCAAGGTTGGCCTGTCAGTACTTCACTGCTTTTTATTACCAAATAATCTATTGCCGTGTGTTTTTTCACTCAGCTGATAGTTGGGTTGTTTCCACTTTTCTGTTTGTTTGTTCCAGGCTGGCCTGGAACTTGTTATGTAGACCAGACTGGTCTCAGACATACAGAGACCAACCTGCCTCTGCCTCCTGGGTGCTGAGATTAAAGGTGTGCCCCGTCATACCCAGTCTTATTTCCACCCTTTGACCTTTATGAGTAAGTTTTGAGTGGACATACTGAGGTTGGGAATGGCAGGTCACAGGTGAGCTCTGATTCAGTTTTCCAGAAGCCGCCTACCCACTTTCTGAGGGAACTGCCCATTTCATGTTCCTCCAAGTATGTGAGAGTTCTGATCTTTCCACATCGTCACTGCAGTTGTCTGTCCTTGGGGTCTGGCCATCTTGTGGGTATGCTGTGATGTCTCACTGTGGTTTGAGCTTGTGTTTCCCAGGTGGCCAGTGGATCTCTTCCCTGGACAGATGCCTGTCTGATCCTCTGCTCATTTTGTGATTGCATTGTCTTCTTGTTATTGGTCTAGGAATATTTTAATATGCCTTAATGTACTTCTGGTATCTCTTTATCAGAGTTATAACTGGCAAGAATTTTCGGGAATTCTGAAGGTTGCTTTACACTTTCTCAGTGGTGTCCTTTGAACCACAAAGTTCCAAGCTAGAGTCCCACTCACTGTTCTGTCCCGTGCTGGGATGCTTTGGCATCACACCAGAGAAGCCTCTGCTTGCCTCATCTAGCACTGCCAGGCTTTATGACTGTGTTTTCTTCTAAGCGTTTTACAGTTTTAGCTCTAGCATCTGTGTCTTTGATGCATCCCATCATTTTCGTGAGCTACCACATTGTTCTCTGGTATATGCCGTAGTTGTCCCAGACCTGTTTGCTGAAATAACCGTTTTCTCCATTAAACTGCCACAGCATCCTTGTTGAATAGCAATTGGCCATAAGCCTGAGGTTTGGGGGATTTTTTTGTTGTTGTTCTTTAGGTTTTTTTTTTTTCTTTTTTTGTCTTTTTTTTGAGACAGAGTCTCCCTGTAGCTGCAGTTGGCCTGGAATTCACTATGTAGATCAGGCTGGCCTTAATCTCAGAGATCCACCTGCCTCTGCCTCCCTGGAAGGTATGTACCATCACACCCAGCTAAGTCTGAGCTTTGCTTTCTGGACTCCAGATCCTCTTCCGTCCAGCTCTCTATGTATTCCTTATGTGAATGCCACCCAGTCCCCATGACTATAGCTTTGTAGTGAGTTTTGAAGTTGGAAAGTTTAACCCCTCCAACTTTGTTCTTCTTTAAGTGTCTGCTGGCTATTCCAAGTCTAAATTGTCCATAGAAGTTTGGGATCACCCTGTCACCCTGTCAGTTTCTGCATGGCAGCCTGCTGGGATTTGATAGGAATGCTGTTGACTCTGTCAGCTTGAATATGTATAGATTTTGGATGGTTTATTTGTGTTTTCAAGCACTTGCAGCTACTGGATATCAGCCTTTCTACTGTGTCCCTGCCCTGCCTCACTGAACTTGCCTTTCATCTCTAAGCAGTGGACTTTGTGTAGACCCAGCCTTCACTGTGTCTTCTGGTTCTTTCTCTTCCAGCTCTAGACATCTGGCTTGTGTTTCCCCTGCTGCAGTGCCCCTCCCTCCACGTGGCAAGTTCTTACCCAGCATCCTCAAGGGTGAACCCCCACCCACAATGAAGTAGGCTTTGGTCTAAGTCTCCACATTGAGCCAGCGTGCCCTTCTCTCTGCAGACAGTTGAGACCCAGCACTGCAGGCTTCGGGTAGCAAGACCAACAAGAGATTGGCCCTTCTCTCTCGGTCCAGTGGGGCAATAAGCCTGCTGGCCAGGACTGGCACTGTCACCTCACTCTGTCACCTATTGGAGGGTGGAGGCTGGTGCATACTGTGCTGCTCTGCAGCCCTCCTGGTGCAGCCCACACTCACCAAGGGAAGGAAGTGAGCAAAAGCAAGAGCAGGGCGGGAAGCCGAGCTGGCCTGCATACTCCTCTCTTGGGAACAGTGTCCTCCTGGCGGTGTGGCTCAACAGCCCTGCACTCAAGTCCATCTGGCCTAGTTTTCAGTCTGGCTCTGCCGCTTGCGGTTGAGGGACCCTGGCCAGTCTCCTTAGACTTCTAGCCTCAGTTTCCTCTCTTGCCAGGTGAGAGAGTACTTCCTGTCTCTTAATACTGCTTGGTGCACTCTGGTCCCTTTCAAGTTTTCTTCATGTCTTTGCTGTTTCTTTTGATCCTTGATGATGAGCTGTGGGTTGGTTCATCTCCACATTGCCTCAGGCTCCACCCATACAGCCTCCTGACTGTGGCCTCCAGTGAATGTAAGGTCGCTGCCCCCAGGGCCCTTCTCAGATGCGTTATCACCAAACTGATGCATGTCACGGGTTCCCCTGGCTGTGAGGGCTTACCTTTGATTTCCACAGACCACCAGCCTAAGCTTCAAGTTCTTATTTTACTTTTTAGTTCACTGCTTATCAGCAAGCCCACTTTCACAAGTGTTTGTTCATTTTCCTATCCTCACATGAATTGTCTACTTATAAATGGAAACGGCATGCTAGACTCGAATTCATTTCCTATTCTGTCTCCTCCCTGCATTTCAGAGTTTGTAACTTTGTCTTGGTGTTTATTTTTGATGTGAAGTTGATGTTGCAGAGCCACCAGGTATCTTCCATTCTGCATTTTCTCATTTGTTAATTTAGTTCAATAAGGAGGCCGAGGTGGAATCCCGTGTGGTCCTGTGCCCTGATTGCTGAGAACCCAGTGGCTCTGGTTGGGAATACTGTTTCCTGTGTGTGTCTGCACGTCCGGTCATGGGACCATTTCTTAAAGGCTTCACCCATGAGAAAGCCTCATGGTCAGCCTCATGTGTCCTGAGAGTACTTGAAGCCTTGATTTCATAAAATCAGCCCAAAAGATGCAATTCCTGTAATTAATTTAAAATACAGTCCGTACAGTACTTAAAAACTGGAAGACTGTTTGTTTTAGTAAAGTGCTGTGTACTCTCCCTGTGTTCATTAGCATGACTGAACACATTTCTATTGACTGTGTGTAATATGTTTGCTTAAAATGAGGCCTGCTTAAGCATGTGTAATGAGTGGCTCCAGCCCTGAGCTGGCTGCGATGGAAGCGTGGAGCCAGCAATGGCAAGGCAAGCAGAGCCCCTGCACCGTGGCTTGCACGTGGTTTACCTGTCCTCACCTCCTTCAGAGGTTGACCTCTGCCGCTGATGGTGTGTGAAGGTGCACGTTGCCAGGGCATTCCTCCTCCAGGGTGCCCTCCCTGCCTCCTTGATGGCAGTATTTTGGGTGTGGATTTAGGACAGTCCTTCAGCTTGTGCAGCTCCAACCCTCTGCTTTCACCCCTGGGAAAGAACCCACAGAATTCCAGAGTTTGGGGCTGGCTCTTTAAGAAGACACCCCTTTCCCAAAAACTTAACCATGACTCACCAATACTCCTGATTCTACCTGCCCCGTAGAACCCATGAGCAAGACGGTCCTTCCCCTGCCTACCCTCAACCTGGCAGTGCCATAAATGTTCACATTTCCTGCCACAAAGCCAGAAGGTCTTGAAAGTCGATCCCAAGCCCAGCTATTAAGTATGCACTAGGTTTGTCATTTTGACGGTAAGATCCCTCCTGGCTGTTCTTATTGAGCACTTACTGCCTGAAAAATCAAGTTATCCCATTATGTGCACCCCATTCTTCTAGAGTGGGTTATCACCTGGTAGCTTCCTTTTACAGATAGCAAAGCTGAGGCTCAGAGGGTTTAAGTGACTCTTCTGAGGTCCCAGTGCCAGAAAACGGCAGAGCTGGGATTCAGCCCAAAACCAGCTGATGGAGCCAGGTATGGTAGGTAGCACACATCTGTAATACCAGCACTCAGGAGGCTGAGGCAGGAGGATTACAAGTTTGAAGCCACCCTGGACTACATAATGAGACTCTGTCTCAGAAACAAAACAAAATATAGATCCAACTGACTGACTCAGACTGTTGAAAGCTGTTCAAAACCACACTGCCATCTTGCTGGACACCACTGGCGGCTCCTAGGGACTAGCCCAACAAGTGAAGATTTGACAAGTGAGAGAGAAGCCACACACCAGGCCTCCTTTCCTGTACTAAACCTACCTCAGGGAGGCCAGATAGTTGGTGAAGAAACTTGTGTTTAGATAGAATTTGAGCTCCTCAGTGCAGAAGTAGTGGTGGAACTAGGGAATCGCTGTTTTGAAACTTTTAGCAAGATAGAGCTCTTGGCAGCAGTCATCCTGGAAACCCACACCCAGAGCAGCACATGTTGAGCCAGGTCCTGGGCCCACACCATGGAACTCAGAGCAAGTGGTCCTGTGATTCAACAGACGTATGCCTTCCAGAAAGGCATAACCTGACTCAAAACCAGCCTGTAGCTTCTAGCTTGTTACTGGAAACCAGAGAACACCTGGTTCTTCTGGCCTGTCTGTGCTGTGAAGGAACAGGGAGCAGGAGACAGTCATTACAGAGTAAAAGGGATGGAAAGAGCTGAGGACCCCCACAGAGCAGGCGGCCTCTGATTTGGACGCAGACAAACCAGCAGTGCAGTGATGTGCGATGATGATGAGTACGTGAACATAGACCATGAGATAAGGGTCAGGGCTTTCCTGGTCCTCAGTAGGAATGGTGGTGGCGTGGCAGTCCTGCCTCGTGAGGTGGGGTTGGGTGATAAGACATATCATTGGGGGTTTGTTCAGAATATCCAGCAAATTTAAAAGTGTGGGGAGAGCTGTTCAGGAGCAAGTGTTCCATCCTGTTCTTCCCTCCACTTAGGTTTGAAGATGTCTGTAATAAAAAAGAGCTTGTGCAGTGGGGCGTGCTTATACCCAGTGTTCGTGGGTGGGTGTCCACAGACTGGTAATGGCAATGGTCCCAGGAGCCCTGGGGTTTCTGGGGTCAAGCCCTGGACACAGAGAAGGGTGACTGTTACACTCTGTTGTGACAGCCTGTCTTTTAGGTCCTCAGGGAGATACAGGGTAGAGCTCAGCCCCTCTGTCAGTTAACAAGGATGACCCACTGGTCATCCTTTCTGCTGTCTGGAAGGGCACATGCCAGGAAACAGGGTTTTGAGAGCAGAGGTGATGCATCTCTGAAAGACTCATATCTTTTCCATTGTCCTTCCTTCAGAGGAGGTGGCCTTTAGAAAGAAGAGGCTGTGCATTAAATTTATCCCTCGGGATTCAACTGAAGCTGCCATTTGTGATATTCGGATCATGGGCCGGACCAAGCAGGCACCTCCCCAGTACACATTTATTGGGTAAGTCTCAACAGTGCACTTCCACCTGCTGCCTGCTCCCCCAAGTTCTCAGTCCACTCCTGGGATGAAGTCTGAGAATTCAGCATGCTTTACCTGGCTCAGCCACAGGCTCCCATCAACCTCTTGGCCTTAGTGCCCGTCACTGTCCTCCTGCCAGGCCCTGGGCCTCACTGCACCTCAGCTCTCACTGTGGTTCCTTCTGCTCCCTGTTCTCTGTGTAGACACCCTGCGTCCCACCCAGACACTGCTATGGACCTCAGCTTCTCACAGTGCCAATCAACCCAGGACATTTTATGGTGGGCTTGTTTGTGTCACCAGACAGATGCTGTGTGGGGGAGACAGACAAAGGCACTGCCCTCAGAGAGCACTGTTCTAAAGGGAAAGGGATGAGTAGGAAGCTGAGACAGGTTGTTTTAGGCAGCGAAGGGAAGGCACTGTGGACCTTTCAAAGAAAGACGCAGTTAAAACTCTGAAGTTCATGTATGTAAAGGCCAGCCTAGCTTCTGTAATGTACATATCCTTCTAAAACAACAGGATACATGGCTCAGAATTGACTTGCCTTTCACAAGAGTTCACAGTTAGGAGGTCAGGAGGGGACAAGTCCAAGAGAACTGGGTGAAGGCAGAACCGGGTGAAAGTGAGGGTGGAGGTGGGAAAGAGCGTGGCACATCCTAAGAGCAGAGGCCACCCACATGCCTGCGTGGGCACACCAGGAACAGTGTTGGGCCAAGAGGAAAGCAATCACAAGGGCCCCCAAGGCATCGTGGTTGCCTGGGTTTTATTCCAAGCACATTGGAGGTACTGAATCATAAAGCTATGAGCTATTACGCCACTTCATGGTGCCTGGTTTCTGATAAGCAGAGCTTGCTGGAGGCTGGGCCCATCCAAGTCCTGTTCACCTACAGCTTCAGAGCTGAGGTGGGCCTGGCCCTGAAACTGCTCTATCAGCCCTGAGTGCAAGGACATCTCAGCATTTTGCTTCTGCCCTTGGGACCCTAAATGATGGCAAAAACCACTCAAATGGACTCAAGCAAAATGAAGCATTTGGGGCTTTGGGCAGGTAGAAGTAGGAGTTCAAAGCACAGCACCTCATTTCCTGTCCCTCTCCAGCCCTCGGCTCTCAGTCCTCTGGGACAATCAGTTGCCCCCAGTAAGTGAAGCACAGTGCCTCTGTGCCTTCACTAGCTGTCTTCAGATGTGAATCCAGAAAGGGAGAGAATAAGACTGCCTTCCCATCCAAGTTCTAGAATTCAGTGTCCTTGGTTCATGTGACTATTGTCAGGTGCACCCAGAACTGCTCACTGTTATCTGGGAAAGGTCATTCATTCCCTGATGGCCAGCCTGAGCTAGACGTAAGGTCAGCTCTATTGGAGTCCAAGGAGGAACAGCGAAGGGGCGGTAGTGCCAGGTGTCCAAAAGACAGTAGGTGCTCACTACACTGAAGCAGTTGGAACTCGGGCCTTGAAGCTGAGTCGGCCTACAGATACATGGTTTTTGCTCCCATGGCCTTAGGCCCCTTTTCTCAGCCAGCCCTGCAGGTTCACATTTGTCACTGAGGGTCCCCAGGGGTGTGTCCTCCTGGGTCTGGTTTAGATTCTGTTCTGCTCTTGCTCATTTAAGCCCAGGGTTGACGCTTCTTTCCACACCAGGGCCTTTCCTCGAGCCCCAGGCAGGCACTATGTGAGTACAGCATGGCTGCCTGTGGGTGGGGAAGTGCTGTCACTCTAGGAAGTGTGTGGGGAAGCAGGTGCCCTAGAAATCGACACTAACTTATCTTGGTACACTGTGGTTCCTTTAGATTCTTCAGCATTGCTCTGAATGAAGATGTGTGGTTCTCAGAAGCACTTGGACTGGACGTGTGTAGCACAGGGGTAGAGCAGTACTGTGTACCAAGCTCTAGGTTCCATCACCTGCACCAAAAAATGAACTGGTAGAAGAAAGACTGATCATTCCCTTCCTACATTCCAAAGTCCTGTTCTGCAGCCTGGTTTACACTAATGGCGCAAGCATGGTTACAACAGCAGGTCGCAGTTAGGAGGAAAGCCACCCTTTACCTCCAAGCAGCCATCTATGCACATGTGGAAGCCAGCCCTTTACTACTTTGAAAGTCTGTTTGCAGCTGCTATGTACATCTTGAATTACAAAGAATACTGTTCTAAAAAGATACAATCGTAACTCATTTAAACAATTCCGAGGAATAGATTTTTTTAAATCAATATTTGTGTTGATATGCAAAACCAGAATCTTTCTTCTTTGATAGCATTTTTCAAAAAATTTCTAAAGTATAGTTTGTCTTTCATCTTGGGCCAAAAAATCCTCTTCTAGCAGAAGACCTTGTGTTATTTTGAAGTGAGGGAATTGGAGTCAGTATTCAAAACCAAAGCCACTTATTCTTAAAAATGACCTCCATTCCACATGTCACAAGGCTTGCCCAGTGGGAGGCAGGAAGTTTGTACTGGAAAGAGCACACCAGAGGCCGGGTGGAGGTGGGCTGAGATCAGGCAGTGGCTGGTCGCACTGCTCTGATAAGGCATGCTGACGTTGAGAGCAGTTCCTGAGCACATCCAGAACCCATAGAATACAGTTCCTTCATTCCTTAGCTTCTGGTCCCAAAGACACAGTTTTGGGGTGGAGAGAGGGTTTGGATGTGCCAGAAATAAAGCTGGTTTCATTGTGAACCCCACAGCTGAGAAGTGTGGGACCTACCACAGTGGCCGTCACACCAAGTGACAGCAGTGCACTGTGTATCACTCCCAGTCATGCTGGCTTGTGGGCCATGAGCCTCCGGTTTTGTGGTCTGAGGACATCTTCCCAACTGATCTTGGAGTGAGGCCACATGCAGGTGACTTGCAGCCGTGAGGAACTGCATCCTAACATTTCAGAATGTCAGGTGAACTTGGGGAAGTCCTTTTCATGGGTAGAACCCAGGCATGTGTATGCCCCACTCTTCTTCAGCTGCCTCACCTGACTGAGACCAGTGAGATGGTAAAACAAAAAGCAAACACACCAAGAAGCAAGGAAATGCAGTCTGAGCCAGCAGGCACGCTTGGGTGGTGAGGGACAGCCATGTCACAAAGACCTGCCTGTTGGCACAGCTGTCCTCATGCTGGGCTCTAGCTGGGACACCCAGGGCATGAAGGGAGGTCATGGGCCCTGTCTTACATTTGCAGGAATGGACTCCCTGGGGTTTGAGGCTATGACTCATAGATGACATGTTTGCATTGAGGCTTGGGTCAGTGCTCCAAGCACAGCAGAGTCTTGAAGGTTTTTCTTTTCTCCTAAAGGGAACTGAACAGCATGGGCATCTGGTACCGCATGGGCAGAGTGCCAAGAAATCACGACTCATCTCAACCCACCACACCCTCGCAGTCGTCAGCAGCTTCCACCCCAGCCCCCAACCTTCCCAGGTGAGGCTTTGTCACATATGCACTCACAGGACCTTGGGCCCTGCCTCACCATGCAACAGTTTAGAAAACACTAGTATCCTCTGGTGTATCTACTGAAATGGTATAAAATGTAACCGAACACTTTTGGAAGTCTGAGTTGGGCCTTTAGAAGAAAGACGCAGTTAAAACTCTGAAGTTCATGTATGTAAAGGCCAGCCTAGCTTCCGTAATGTACATATCCTTCTAAAACAGGATACGTGGCTCAGAATTGACTTGCCTTTCACAAGAGCTCACAGACATACAGGCATGTATGATGTGGCAGCCAGGTGGCCTGTCCCGGGCCTCCAGAAGGTGGAATTCCCTCTGCTCTACCAGCAACTCATCTGAAATCCAGGAGGATCCAGTGGTCACTTCATTCATGCTGGTTCTTCCCAGTGAACTCCAGACTAGAAGCAGTCCTTAGAAAGTGGGAAGTTTTTCAGAAGGTTATGTTCACTATAATAATTGATTCCATAGAGAGGCTGTAGTAATCAGCGTGGCCCCTCTGCAGTTGAGTTAAGAGGTGATGGTGGGGGTAAAAGTGTCTGTACTGTTGGCAAAAAGCATATAGTAAAAGCCTCCTGTGAACTAAGAAGCGGCCACCACTAAGGAGATGGTGTATGGGAAGGGACAGACGGCAGTGAGGAATTAAGTCAGAGATTTCCTCCTTCACATGGAATAGAGCAAGGAGGAACGGTGGATGGTGTCGCTGGGGTTGAAGTGATGTGCGGGTGCATTGAGGAGCTTCCCATGCAAGAGAGATGAGTGTCTCCCAAGAGCAGGACAGCAGTCCCTAAGGGCTTCCCTGGGCTCTGTACACCATCTGCCACCCTCCAGGAGTTGCCTCTGCTCTCTGTGGGCTGTCTGTCCATGTGAGCACATCCACTCTCTGGGCACAGACCCAGAGACCTAGGCATAGTGACGCCAGAGCCAAGGACTCTGTCCTTTGGTGCCTGTGAAGGCAATCCAGTCCTAGTGTCAGGCTCCCTCACCAGAGGCAGTCTTTTAAAGTTAAACAACCTTGAGCTGCTTGACACTTTAGAAGCAACTTTTGGGTTCTCTTTGGAACAGAGCTGAAGAGCCAGTGAACTTCCTAGAGTGACAGCACTCCAATCTGTCTCTGCTCAAGAGTGCAGGGCTGGCACGTGCGGGCCGCCCTTGTTCTTTCCTTCCTCACTGACCGGCAACATTGTCAGGGATTTGTCCTAGTGGCACTGCTCAGAGTCACCACCGCCTGGGCCAGCATCATCTCAGGTCATTCACCTGTGCTGGGGTCAACTTAGATCCAACCCCTGTGCTCAGTCAGCTCAAGTTTGGGCTCACTGAAGAGGCTGCAGAGCCCTGGGATGCAATTGCCCTGAATAGTTAGAGCCACTCCCTGAAGTTACATGTGGTCTGGAAAGGCCCAGAAGTAGGCACCACCTCTGGGCGGGTGCTAATTCCTATAGGATGAGGAAGGAACCCCCATTGTCTGAGAAGAAACAGAGAGTACTCACCCTGAAGCCTGCCTGTAACAGGAGAGCCAGGTCCCACCTGCCTCCACTAAAGGCAGCCCAGAAGCACCTGGCCCCTGGGAGTCAGTGGAATCAGAGGGTACCTCATTTCGACAAACTGTTTATAAGGCTTATATATATTTTATAACCTTGGTGTACAGTTTATGGTTTACAATGGCTGCAAGGAAATTGGATCTGTTTTGTTTTACTTGCCAAATAAAACAAATGTCAAAATAGTCAATATAAAATGTATTCTAATTTGGCTGAGTTAAGTCAGCCCATGTTCGGGAAGATCACTCTGTGTATGCTAATGTTGCTGGGTGGAGACACCCCGTTTCTCCCCAGCTCTTCTCTCTGGCTGGGTGTTGATTTATAGATGGTGTATGTACCCCTGTGAACCTCTCAAGTCATTGGGAGTTTGATTTTTAAAATCTTTTGTGTGTTGGTCTGGGTTTTGTTTTCCTCTCCAGTATATCTGATTTTTTAAAAATGAATTGCTTATTACTAGTTTGAACTTCCCACTGAAGATCTAAGAAAGGCTGAATATGCTTCTGTGTTCCTTGAGGCTCAGGTCTGTGTAAAGTCCACAGCAGGGGAGTGACAGCCTTCCCTTGGGGGTGAGCCAAGATGCTGCTCCCCTATAGCCTGTAACTTCAAGGCTTAGCTCCCCTATCAGCTATGATGACCTCCCCATGCAGCCCCCCTGGTTTCCCATCTCCTCCTGTATCCCAGCCCCAAGCTGGTCTGGTACCCTGCCGTTCCCTTCCTATTCTGTGCTCTGTGCCTTTGCTCACAGGATACCTGCACATCTGGAATGTCTTACTTTCCTTCTCGGCTGGACTGTCCCTCAGAGTGCCAGGCTGGGCCTGCACTTCAGGGAGCCCCTTGCACACAGGGTCTTTTCTCTGTCGCCATCCCGGGCATGTGTTCAGTTTCCCAGCATGCACTTTCCAGCAGTGAGAACGTCCATGCTGCCACCTCTGTAGACAACACCCCAGTCCCTGAGCACTGCGGGAGTTTTTCAATCATGAGAGCAATGCAGGCTTGTGGGAAATTGGCAGAATATAGAAAATAATGGAAAAACAAAACCCATTTCCAGTGAGCAAATGCTCATAACCTTTTGTTACATTTTCTTCAAGCCTTTTTCCCCCGTGCACTTTTACATAGGTGACATCATCGCATATAATATCAAGTTCATGATTTGCTCTGTTTTCTCATGGAACGTTAAACCACAAACAGCAGGTACAGTTCCTCAAGCGTAGTCTTTGTGTGGACACCTGATCCGATTGCCAAAGCCCTTGCTGCTAGGAGAGTGGTGGTGTGGCGGCCTCTACTGGCCAACTAGGAGGTGGCAGGGAGGCATGCTGGGCCTCTGGCCAATCCAGGGAGCCTCAACCAAGAGACAGGTGGGGGTCAGTCCGGCATGCTGCCTTCTTGTGCCTGGGCGTGTGTCTCAAAAGGAAAAGATGTGTGTCGCGCCGCCATTTCTTACATCGTCACCTGGATTTCAGAGCATTCCCAGCTGCTTTTTTGGAGAGCTGTCATTTCCAACTTTATTTTAGACAAAAGAGGCATTAGGTGAACTTTTCGCAGGTGACAGGCCGTCAGCTTCCTCATGTCCCTGCAGTGCTGCCTTCTCTTTTCCTGCCTGAGCCTTCCCATCAGATGTAGAGTACCCCTGCCCTCCTGCCCTCAGGTCTCTGGGAGGCAGGGTGTTTCCTGCCTGTGTCCAGTGAATTGGATGTTGGGCCTGGTGGCATTTGTGTCAAAGGCAGCAAAAGATAGCTGGACAGAGGTGTCTTCCTTACAGCGACTCCTGGTCTCATCCACAAATCTCTGCTCAGGTTTTTGGAGCCTCCATCAAGGCAAGCGGGCATTCCTTCCTCCGCTTACCAGTGTTATGCACATGGTCCAGTGGAGTGGGGTGACCTAGGGGCTGAGGCTTGTCCTCTCTCAGCACCCCTCTCTGGGCTGGCCTCAGCTGAATGAGCCTGGCAGACCCAGTGGATAGTGGGTTTCCTGTTTGGTGTCCTGTTCTGCTTGGTGCTGCTACCTTGGGGTACCAATAAAGCACCTTCTTGGCCTCAAGCAAAGCTCCCTCAGCCCCTCTCACACATGAGGTCTCGTGTGTGATAACTGGGATGGAAAGGTTCTGCCACTCCCTGGACCAGGGAAAGCTCCTAGAGGCAGGCATCCACAGTTGATAGTGTACCAGGATCCCCCAAGTGGACAAATAAATGTCCTTTGTTGCCTGGGGGAGACCTTGGCAGGCTGTTTCCCCTTACTTGCTGAGGAGCAGAATCAGAGGCTTGATAAAGATGTCAGAAGTGTGCTTGTCAAACCCACAGATGACACGGAGTCACTAGGGAGAGCTGATGTGCTGGAGGACAGGGTCAGTACTATACATCTCCACAGCCACAGCACCCATAGGAATGAGGTGGTAGGAGGCAATGCGTGCAGAGAGACTCCCCCCCCCCCAGGGTCACATGGTCCACAGCACAGGAACCCATCCAGGAGACCTGGCCCAGCAGAGAGACAGAGACAGACGAGGGGGCGGGCGGGGGGACAGTGACAGAGGGAAAGGAAGGGAAAGAGAGATAGACATAGAGAGAGAAACAGATAGAGGGAAGGAGAGAGAGAGAGAGAGAGAGAGAGAGAGAGAGAGAGAGAGGCAGGCAGACTAGAGGGGGGCTGGTCATGAGCTTCTGGTATGAGACAGCCAGCCTGCTGTACATGTCCAGGCATGTGTCAGGAGGCTGTGTCCCTGTCACACCTGTCAGGCTCAGCAGAGAGTCATGTAAAAGCTACCCAACTGCAATGTTGAATTTTAACCTGAGTACAGATAGGTAGCTGGCTTTGGATGTCTAAATGGTCAGCCATCAAAGAGAAATCAGAAGCATTTCCTGGGAGGAGGAAGGGCTGCTGGGAACTCCCGAAGGCAAAGTGGGACCCGGTGGGCTGGAGTTGCAAGGTGGTAGATTTGGGCTCAACCTTAAAAATAAAAAAGAATAAAACTTCACAAAAATAGTTTCTGTGGCATGAAGAAGCCACTGTGGAGCTCATGAGTGATGCTTGCTGAGGGTTAGCTCAAGTGTCCTCTAGATGCTCATGTGTTGAAGATGTGGCCCCCAGTGAGAGTGTTCAGTGGTGAGGTTTTGGGGGGCAGTGACTGGATTCTGATGGCATTGAGCTAGTCAAGGGATCAGTCCACTGATGGCTTCACAGTTGAACAGATGGTTGGGTGGATGGTGGGGCTGACGAGAGTCAGTCGGTCACTGTGGGGTGTGCCTCAGCCCTGGCGTCTTCCTTCCCCCACCTTCCCCCCCCGCCACACCCCTCATCTCCTTTTCCTCCTCCCAGCCACCATTAGACCCCAAAAGCAACAGAGCTGGCTGACCATGAACTGAAAGCTCTGAACCGTGGGCCAAAAGCAAGCTCTTCCCTTACACTGCTTATCTTGTGTATTTTGTCCCTCACCTGCTTGGAGGT